TGCATGTTGGTAAATGTTTCAATATGTCCCTTGACAGGGGAACTTTTATATCAAGATGGGACTAGAGGGAAAACTGTTGGTTGGATGTTGTTTAACGCCGCACGCAACAATATTCCAGCCTGGTCTGTACATAATCGAGTCTGGTCCAGACAATCCAGTGATCCAGCATGAGCATCGACCTACGCCATTGGGATACGATGACATGTGTCAACCACCTGACAACGATAGCCACCTCTTAAAACAAGCATGGGTTGCTAAAACACAATTCTAACCCGGGTCGTCACAGGTTAGACGGAAAACAGTGGCAGCTCTACACGTATCTGTATTGTGTGGTTCTTTATGAAAAATAAAAATTATATTCAGTTTCTTAGCAAGGTATATTATGACAAATCAAGTCCTCATTTGTACATTCAATCATTGCTATAAATGTCGAAACGTTTTTGACCGCCCTCCGTTTATATTTGAACGATTTCTGAATAAAATGTTTACGAAAACAATGTTGTTCAAAACCTAATGTAAATACTGCAAAGTAATTGTATGTATAGTACACAGCAATTGGTAGTACAAACTTCCACAGTAGAGCAGTTAAAATAGCAGCATAAAATATAACAATATCGTGTTGTCAGTAACGTCAGTGATAGTACCATTCATCTATCAGCCACAGTGGGGAGTATACAACCAATGGTATTATAGTCTGTTTGCAGTGAAAACGTACCGATGAATGTCACTTTAAACAAAAATGTAAATCAAATAAAGTGAAATTAAGATTGCGAATCCTCATAATTTGACCTTGCCAATTGAAAATTTAAATCTCAGAATTTTATTCAACTTAGTTTAACAAACGATCATAGTTTCAAGTCGCTATTTTTGGTTTGTATTACAAGGGGGTAAGCGCAGTAGTTGGAACAGTAAAACAAATGCACGTGCGGTTCGTGATGAGCGTTAACTTAGACCAACCCTACATGTTCTCGGTGTTTCATTTAATGTGCATGAGGATTCGCAATTTTAATTTCACTTTATTTGATTTACCTTTTTGTTTAAAGTGAAATTCATCGGTACGTTTTCACTGCAAATAGACTATAGTGAAATGTTATGTGATTGACACGTGCGGTTGCTGTATTGAAGGGTCTGAAAGAAACTGAAAGAATGCTGGATAGGTATGTGCCGTCCTAGAACATTTATCTTAATAGGAATAACTTGCACGCCACTGCTTACATTATATATGAACACGTTCCTGGCACCTAACTTCTGTCAAATCAGAATATCATGAGTGAGTCAGGGTTTTTTACGCCGCTTTTAACAATATTCCAGCAATATCACGGCGATTGACACCAGAAATGGGCTTCACACATTGTACCCACGTAGGGAATCGAACCCGGGTCTTCAGCGTGACGAGCGAAAGCTGTAACCACTGGGCTACCCCCCTGCCCAGAATATCATGAACAGAATCTGATTGAAACAATGTAACATAATTATAGCATTGTGAAACAAAACATTAAACTACAGTTTAACAAGGAAACGCCAAACGTTTATGCAGGCCTTAAAACATTACAACTTTAATTGGTGAAACCAATGAGTTACGGCAAAATAGTGCTGAATTTCGAACGCATCATAAGTATTTTCGATTTTACAGAAGCAGTATTGTTTTATATTCAGACATAGACATTGCACTCCTTACATCAAAGCGAAATTGATCACAGGATTGTCTGGTCCAGACTCGATTATTTACAGACCGCCGCTTTATAGCTGGAATATTTCTGAGTGCGGCGTAAAACTAACCTCACTCACTCACTTAAAGCGGAACGATTGGGCCCTGCATTCAAATGAACCCTAATTCAAGTAAAGCCACCTTGTTTATGTACTCTTCCTGATTTTGTTCCTATTAATCCATATTGGGCTGCTAGTGCAGTTGAGTCTCTCTTAATTATGTTTACTATCAAGTGCAAGGTAAATCAAGCAGTCCTTTTCTTTTCGATTTTCTGTTTCAAATAAATTAACAATTAATAAAATTAATGATTTTATACCTTTAAAAGGAAACATCTGTCATAAAACTAGAACACTACGAATTGCAAACACGGATACCGCGATGTGAAAATGAAAAGATAAAGATTATATCGGATATTAACATACTTCCGTGACCCATCCAGCACGTGGGAGTCGTGCCTTCTGTATAGTCTAGACTTGATTCCAGGCTGTATATCATTAACTACCAGTTTCAGAATTTATCAGGTTAGGTGAGGGGAGGGTTTAAAGTCTTAAATGTATAATTTACACAACCACCGTGCAAAAATATCTGTTTCGATGCAAATAACACCAATTTTTTATCAGTGTAATTTTAATGAAGTCACCCCACTCACACCAATAGGAACACTTGTGTCAGTATATGTAAGGGAACGTTAATCTTCTTCTGAAAAATATATTTGCAAATTATGTAATTATCTCCCCCTGATGTTTAATTGCAGGGGAATACCAGACAAATGACACACACATTGTATACTCTTAAAAAAAAAAGAACATTATGTTTTAGGAAAATATTTGACACAAACCAATCCATGCAAAGTCCCAACACGTGGAGGAATGGTTGCCGACGACAAAACGTTTAAAAAAGGAAACGTTCAACAAAAACTTAACGTTACACTGACGTTTATAGTGAATCGCTAAAACGCACCCTACATGATATGCACGTGCATCATGAAATTGTGTATCACCCTGAGCTGAAGCCTATGACTGTAATCTTTAAAAGGCCACATCAACGGTACTCCAAAAGCATTGCTTTAAGACAGTATAGAGGACAAAACAATGCCAAGACTGATAGAAGCTCAACGACACAACGCCATCGGCCGTTTACAAGGAGAGGCATCGCAGCATGAGGTGGCGAGGCACTTCGACGTGTCCAGACAGCCCGTCTCAAACTTATGGACCCGATACAACAATACTGGGGGTGATAATGACAGACCCTGGTCAGGTCGACCTGGAGTTACCACCGCCGCTCAGGATCGCTACATCCGGTTGAGACATCTTCGTTCACGCACCACGACCGCAACATCCACAACTTAAATCCCTGGACGAAGTCGAATCTCCGACCAGACAGTGCGCAATCGGCTACGGGAAGCCGGACTTTTTGCCAGTAGAGCAGTTCGATTTAACGTCTTGACACAACGTCACCTGGCTGAACGTCTACAATTGTGCAGACAATGCAGACGATGGACGCGGCAAGATGGGGGACACTTTTGTTCTCAGATGACTCTTGGTTTCTTCTCAGACATGCTGATGGACGTTCATGTGTATACAGACGTCGGAACGAACGTTACGCCGATAACTGTGTACAGCAGGTCGAAAGATTTGGTGATGAAAGTGTCATGGTGTGGGTAAGTATCCATCATAATGGCCGGACAGCTCTTGTGCACGTGGCAGGTGCATTGAATGGGGTTCGTTATAGAGACGAGATTTTGCAACGTCACGTCGTTCCCTTCATCAACGTCAACCGTGGATCTTTCCAGCATGACAATGCTCGACCTCACGTTGCACGTGTTTGCCAGAACTTCCACCAGCAAAACAAGGTTCAGGTGTTACCATGGCCTTCTCGATCACCCGATTTGTCCCCCATTGAATATCTATGGGATACTCTTGATCGACGCTTGCACCAGCGTAATCCGCCACCTCAGACACTACAAGAGCTGCACGCAGCACTTAAAGAGTATAAAAACATTCCCCAAGACAGCATTCGGCATCTTCTTTCTAATATGGGCCGCCGCTGCCAAGCTGCTAACGATGCTCATGGTGGTCACACATTCTGACCAAGTGGCTTTAACAACCCTCTGTGGTTTTACCAAACACTTTCTGGATAATCATGTTTTGGAAATTTGTAAAGTGATGATTTCACTGTAATTGAGCAATGATGTCATGTTTGAATCCGTTATATGCACTCAGTAAATATACTCCAGAACATCAATTTCAAGTTTGTTTGTTTTTTTAAGAGTATATTATTGACTCAAAGATGTCACTGCTTATGATTTTGCAAGGAATCGATATCTTGACAGTGTGGATTAAAAGCCAAGAAGAAATATCTAGCCACTAGCCAGTACCTGTTACTCTTTTGATGGATTCCGTCTTTGTTGTATATCCTCTATTATCCCAAAATGCAGGATGAAACATGCCCTATTTTATGTTCGGGTTGTTTTGTTAAAAGCAGAAGTAACTGTAGTTACATGACATATGAACAACATTCAACAGCCGACCTTTAGAAGTGACTCATTCTTGTATGTAATAATAGGACACTGAGTGCAGCAAACGCGCTTACTGGAACTTAAAAATATATTTTGTTTGATAACACAAATGTCAGATTGTGACACATGAGAATAATGCCTTCTGTTTAGTTTTCACTTCAGTAACTAACCGCCATTTGGAGAATTTCTATTATTGTCAGTAATGAGATCATGCACCTGTTTCCCCTACAAAGCACATAACCATGCGTGACAAATGAATGTTCTAGAAGGTGATTTTAATAAACGGATCCAGCACTTTGTGCATTCAAACCAATACCTATGAATGCCTGCCAAGCTGTATTTTTAGACATAGCAGGACAATGATTTTTGTCGCTCAAATTTCATGTTGGCATTTTGCATCTCCCCTTAACTACCATATGCCTTACGTTTACAGCCCGAAATACAGGGCGCATTGGTCAACTAATTGGTGACCGTCGAGATGTCCTTCCAGAAACCCGTACGTTACAATGATTGATTCAGAGAATGATACCAGTCATATGCACCAGGCATAACATACATGCATACATCCAGACGTATGTGGTCACAAACCACACATCTGTCGCCATGAAGCAGTGCAAGGACATCATATTTGTAACATCATATCCAGTATTCAGTTCAACAAAGATGTTATCATAGCAATATGCATATACAATCTATATAATGGTCATGCTATGACCATTTATAGCCTGGCCCGCAGTCGTCATGCAGCCAGTCATATACAAAGTCTCATCCATACGGAATGTTTATCCTGCTTCTCGTCGTCGCACCCCTCGTGGTGGGGGACTTCGCCTTCAGAAACACGTCTCTACCCTGGGACGACAGAGTCAACGATCTCGTGGGTCGTCTCACCCTGGACGAGATCAAACTACAGATGTCACGTGGTGGTGCGGGCCCTCAAGGTGGACCCGCCCCTGCTATACCCCGACTGGGTATCAACCCCTACTCCTGGAACACCGAGTGTCTCCGGGGTGATGCGGGGGCGGGGGACGCTACCTCCTTCCCCCAGGCCATAGGACTTGGTGCCTCATTCAGGTAAGACTATAGGAAATATATATTCACATAGACAGACTCATTAACGCTAGAGCATCATGTGAACACTGTCAGACGCAGCATTTAAATAATGGACGTTGCGTACACAATTCAAGGGCACCGTTATAACAAGTCTAATTTATTCCGTTTTGATTTCCAAGTTGAAACTAATACAGTCGTTAAACCAGAAATCACTCCGACATAGAATACGGTGTAAAAACAGCAAGCAACAAAGCGAGGTGATATAAATTACAATGTAGTCTGAGGGACCGATCATAATTTATGGCTGGGGTGAATGGGAGGGAGTGGGCGTAGATGGAGAATATGATGATTTAGGGGTGTGTGTGGGGTGTGTGTGTGTTACACATATTGTTGTGAGGAGGTCATCAATTTGGTACACATGTACTATCGGGTATCATTGATTTTGTACATGACTTTCAAAGGGTTGGGTGTGGGGATGTGGGGCACTTACTTTGTACTTAAAGTTTAGTGGGGGTTGTACATGTGTCTTCATAAAAGTCATCATCACCCCTAAATTGACTTAATTTCACATATTATTACAAATCCATACAGTTGAATTTCAGTCACAGTAAATAACTAAAGTTGCTGTATAAATTCAAAGGCATTATTCCAAGGCAGTGATGATGTTCAGCTCTCAAGACAAAGATCTCACCTCCCCGCAATAAGTATCCAAAATTAGGCAAGGCGGACTATCAACATTGAGAATGATCTCCGCAAAACGCTGGCTTTCTTGTAACTTAAGACGTAAGGTGAGATGAGAAACAAGAGTCAGAGTCGTTATATATCTAAGATAAAGACTACAGAAGATTCTACTACTCCCGGGGTCAGAATATAGTGGAAAGACCCTTAAAGTATAAATACAAGTGTAACTTTAGAACACACCAGTGTCCCATACTGTATATCAACAAGTACAATGTTTTACACTTGGAGCCTGTTACACAATACATAGAACCGCTACATAACAATGTAAAACCGAAACAAATATAATTTAAATGACGTCACTCTCCAGGACCATTCGCTATACACAGTAACAATGCAGTGTAGGCGTTTTGACTGCACGGACAGAGCAATTCACGCTTCAATATTTAGCCTCTGCGAGGTCGCTGACCCGCCTGGTGATGCTAGAGGTTACGGGTGGGCATTGGGTTTCCTGAACCATGGTCATGTTACCTTAGTAGCCTTACCGACCTCCTGATCAGTCATATACATATATACGGTCTTCGCACACTTACGCACCACAAACACTTACATACAACACTAAATATGGACTTGGAACAGTTCTGGAAGCTAAACCAAGCCTTCAAGTACAATTATGTCTAGCACCTCGTGAAAATACATTCATGAATTCGTCAATTTATTTCTCAAAATGAGGAAAACTATTTTGAATTTTGTGGTGGTGATTCAGATGGTATTTCTGATATTCTGCTTCAATTAGAAACACACGAATTGAGCTCGTATTGAGCTAATATCGAACGTATATGATATTAATAAATATACAATTCCATAATGAAATGTATGCAAAATATGATATGATTGAACCAACAGATGTTAAAATCATGGTTGATGGTAAAATTGAATTTGATACAGAAGCATCGATCAGTGTTAACAGATATACTCCCCATCAAAAAGTTTAGACTCACTAGTGTAAATGTAGCCACTTACTTCAGTCAACTGATCTAAATAAGATTTTGCAAAATATTCAATAGAGTTTAAGGGTACTGTTTACACATGAACTCATGAAACTCATGAAAATTGGCGAATTCTTAACAAAACTTTACACCAAAACGCAGCTGTTCACATGCACAATATTTGAACATGCCTTTCAGCAATTTGATGCATGATCCTTGTGCAATTCATCTGCATAAGGTTTGCACTTAGTTCCCCCAAGTTAGTGGAGAAATCAATCTTCGATGTAACCATATATATACATAACATATAGTGAGTGCTTTAAGTGAGTCTAAACTTTTGATTGGTAGTATGTATAACTTTCAGAATTTTCTTTGTGTAGAAATATATTGCACATCTGGAAATACGATTCATTCACTTGTTTTTCAAATGCATATTCGGGTATTTGCAATTTCAATATTAATTTATTAATTTTATCCTGTAGCCCTGATCTGATATTCCGAGTAGCCCAGGCCACTGGTGAGGAGGTGAGGGCCAAGTTTACTGACTACATGAGGAAAGGACAATATGGCGACCACAAGGGAATTAGTTGTTTCAGTCCAGTCATCAACATCGTCAGAGACCCCAGGTGGGGCAGGAATCAGGTAAGAGACCCCAGGTTGGGCAGGAATCAAGCAAGAGAACAATTCATTTTCCATTTTGCCATAAAACTATAAACGCTACAACCTTAGAGCAACAAGACAAGAAAATGTCAGATGTTTGCTGCAGTCTCGATAATACATTCCCCCAGCGTCCTTCACTAGTCTGGTTCCGCAGACAGTTAGTGTAAAGACTGAAAGATAAAACACACGTAAACAGTGTATAATGAGGAAATTAATCGCACAGGACCCTCTTTTGAAGGATATGCTAGCCATCAGCTTTGTCATTGGTCGACAAGGCAATTGCCCATATTATACTTGTGCAAATTGAGACTGTGAACATTTCCATGTATATGAAGGTTCAGAGTATATCCCCGTAACAAAACATGCTGAGGTAACTGCAGAGCCGAATGATTGCTGTTTTTCTACAGGAAACATATGGTGAAGATCCCTTTCTGACAGGCGTTTTAGCTGCAAATTTCGTAAAGGGTCTCCAGGGAAACGACCCCCGTTACATCAGAGCCAACGCTGGATGCAAACACTTTAACGTCCATGGCGGCCCTGAGAATATACCCGTTTCACGCTTCTCGTTTGATGCAAAGGTAACTTGAGGTCTTCGATCGGTCAGAATGAGTTTTACGCCTCTTTTTGCAATATTCCAGCAATACCAAGTCGAGGGACACCATGGTTTCACAAATTGTAGCAATTTGGGGAATCGAACCCGGGTCTTCGTCGTGACGAGCGAACGATTTAGTCACCAGTCTACCCAAACGTCCATCGCATCAGTAAAATGCCAAGGTGTTGAACCACTAAACAACAAAGCAATGTGATGTAGTTTACAATTATTTCAAAACTAAGTTTGCAAGGTAATACACATCAATGTCAAGGTATAATAATGTGTCTATTTATATAGCGCCAAACTCCACACTAGGTATGCTCATAGCTCTAACACTAGCACATTATTACCCCGGATAACCCAAGCTGCCTGTTGGGTGTTAGAAGGTTATAATCAAATGACTTATTGCACCCGGTACCCATTTTCTGCTGGGTGACAAAGGCAATTTTAAACAAACTCACTTGCCTAAGGTGAGACCACATGTATCACACATGTGCTTCGTTGTGGGGCAGGACTGAAGTCCTAGAAACTCTCAGGAGTCAAACTGCTAAACACGTCATACATCCATAGACTCTCTGGGCCCAAAGTTGCTTAACTTCACCTGATTTGTGACATGGTGTTTTTACGGTGAAAGGTATGACGATGGCAGTACAAAATAAAGTGAAAGTACAAATTCAAAGGCAGTATAACACAACGGCACTGATTAAGACAGAAATGGTAATATCACCTCACTGTAGCAATAGTCACGTGTCCAAAATATGCCAAGGCTGAGTATCTATTGTAAGAATCATCTCCACACAACTGCTGGTCTTCTTGTAACTTGATATGTTATGTAAGATGAAAGGCAAAAGTTAGCTCCGTTTATATAGTGGCCCATGTGGTTGTAGTACATTCCTGAACTGGGAATATAGCCCAACTATAAGTATAGCACATATTGAATGAATATCATATGTTCAGTGTTTTACACCTTGAATGCAATGAATATCCACTCATATAACTTTCTTCGCTATTGCGCCTATTACGCCCAATGAATTTTAGGAGACTAATTATTCTCTGGCGTTGACATTGGGAATTTACAGGTATCTGAACGAGACTGGCGCACTACGTTTCTGCCAGCGTTCTGCTCCTGTGTCAAGGCCGGGACTTACAGTATCATGTGTAGCTATAATAGGTGAGTATATATAAAACCCATACACACGCGCGCACGTACATACATCACATAAATCCAGTTTCTGTAATTTATTATGTAACCAGGACTACAGTTACAATTATTATATAAAGTTCCACATATCACAAATATCCATAAAACTGGTACGCATACCTGCTATATGCATTGTATTATTATTGTTTAATTATGTTTTTAAAGCTATGTTTATCGTTGATGATGTTTTCTTCAAGAATCAACGGAGTCCCTGCTTGTGCCAACAAGAAGCTTTTGACGGATATTCTCAGGACCGAATGGGGTTTCAAAGGCTACGTGGTCAGTGACGCAGCTGCCATTGAGGTCATCATCTCCGAACATCACTACACCAACAACAGCGTCGACACCGTCACAGCGTGTGTGAAAGCTGGATGCAACCTCGAATTGTCACCAAACTTAGACCAACCTGTCTTCTACTCTGTGGGTACGTGTCCTTGGTGTGGTGTTATAGCATATGTTACGGTTAATAAATTGTCGTGACAAAAGGTTTAAGAGTCCCTTTGAACCAGCTAAATACAACACAGACAAGTCTAATATATTCAATAATATATTGAGCAAACAATGAGCAAGCTACAATGAATGACAATACAGATATTTAGTACAATGCAATTGAGGCACAAATCTAAAGTATTGGGTCACAAATATAAGATAACTCACCAGAGTCTTGACATTTACAGTTAGAGCAGTTATACTGAATGAAGGTAGTTTACAATGAGAGTTGAATAAGACACGCAGTGTCAGTCTGGAGCGTAGGCCAGACGATGTTGACGAAGGCAGACAGATGTATAACTCAAGTGATGAGAAGTCCATGTAGCACAACACAACAACCAGCCTTTATATAGCTGACACAGATTATTGAGCATTCGAGCAAAGCGTGGCTGTATCATTATTCTCTCAGAACGTTATCGAAATTTGTTGCGACATGACAAAGCAAAATAGACAGCCAAGGGAGGCAACTCTGGAGCGCTATCAAAAAGGCGTGCCGCTAAAATACTATTGCCATTGAACATACATGATGCAAGATATGAGCCGCAACCCACTCTCAAAACTTAAACAGTGTGACCTATATTAACTATCACCTAATAAATGATAATACAAATCACAAAAAACACACTCTCGTAACACATACGTATTGTTTAAGTAATCAAAATCTATTAGTAACCATTCGAACCAGTGGTTGATGATAGCAACGTTCCACGTTAAGGGACGAGATGACATATCCCATCCGCTGTAGCACATTTTAAGTATATAAACTATGGACAAAGTGAATCCTGGATTCGATATCGGTTTTGACAACGGGAGGTTAGGTGGCGACGTTTTCCGTAAACCGACAGTTGTGTTAAGGCATTATATCAAAATTGCTTTTTAACTTGTACATACCTTAACTCAAGCGTTTCCCCTATGGCTTCCATTGATCTGAAAAGGAACTGAATTATCCACGCTCTGCTTTTGTGTCTCTGTATGCTGACAATTAGCAGCACAAACCTATTACAAACTGTCATGTCAGATTCAGATATACTAACCGAACCGAAGATTTGTAGAAGTATTGACATTAGCATTATTTTTCTTACTTACTGAGGTGATGCTGTGAAACAAGGCAAGCTTACTGAAGACGAGGTGAGAAACAGTGTGAAGAAGTTATTCAACGTCAGAATGAGGCTTGGAGAGTTCGACCCACCGGCAATGAGCCCATACTCTAAGCTGGATCTTTCCATTATTCAAAGCGACGCTCACAGGAACCTCTCCGTCGAGGCAGCAATGAAATCCTTTGTTTTGATGAAAAATCAAAAGGTCCTTCCTTTGAAAATCTCAAACTACAAGAAAGTGGCGGTGGGTAAAACAATATAAATGAGGTGAGGTGCAATTGGATTTAACGTCGTGCTTGAAAATATTTCGCTCATATGACGACGTGCATGCGTGTGTGTGTGTGTAGGTTATATAGTGCTAGCCCACTGAGATACCATGCCGCAGTGAAGCATGGATACCCCACTCAGACACATTATACTGACTCCGAGCCGACCAGTCCTTGTTGTACCCATTAATGCCGAGCGCCAGGCAGGGACCAACAAGTACCATATTTTAACGTCTTTTGGTATGACGCGGTCGGGGATCGAACCCGCGACCTTCCGCTCTCCGGGCGGACGCTCTAACCACTACACCACGGAGGCGGTCAACAATATAAATGAAGGGTGTACTGATTGTTTTGTTAATTGGGTGGTTGATTAATTTGGTGAGTGGGTTTTTGAGTCAGTGAGTGAGTAGGTCAATGATTTAGTCAGTGTGGTGTTGTGTCGTGTTTAGCAACACTCCTGTAATATCAAGGCGGCAAGGCACCAGAAATTGGCTTCACACAATGTAACCCATGTGTGGGGCGGCGGGGTAGCCCAGTGATTAAAGCGTTCGCCCGTCACGCCGAAGACCGTGGGTTCGATTGCCCAAACAGTTACAATGTGTGAAGCCCATTTCTGGTATCCCTCGCCGTGATATTGATGGTATATGGCTATTAGCGGCGTAAAACCCAACTCATTCACTCTCTTATTGTAACCCATGTGCAGCATGGAAACCAGATCTTCGGGATTACCACAACTAGGGCTTACACCTTCTTCAACTGATGACATCACTTATTGTCAGTGATCCACTCATATAAATTAATCTACTCGTTTGCCTTTCGCGCCCATTGGAGTCTGTGGGGAAACTGATATTGGTTATTCTAAGGTGTCTAAAACGTTTTGGGCATTCTTTCATACGGGTGTGATTTTGGGAGGATTGTAGTGAGCGTACAAGAAATATCATGCAAGATGTATCCACATCCTCTGTGATACACGAAGCAGTATTATACTTTCTTATACTTTATTATACACTGGAAAACAGAACATTGCAAACAGAACATTTCGAAACACAAATGTATACAAAAGACATCCAGATAAAAGGCATTAGTATTACCAAGGGTTTCTGTTTGTAGCGTCATGCCCTGTATTCCAAATTTGTTATAATTGCACCGAATCATGTTCTAGATTGTGGGACCAATGGCCAGCAATACGCAGCAGCTGTTTGGAGACTTTTCCTCTGACATGAACCCCAAATACACCACGACCCCCCTACATGGTGTAACCTCTATCTGGTCCACAGTAAGGTATGCCGCAGGCTGTTACCACAACACATGTACACGTTACACACCATACGATGTCCAGGCGGCCGTCACAGGCTCTCACCTAATATTTGTATGTCTCGGCACAGGTGAGTTTTTGAGAACATGTACTCTAAATCCTATATTCCTATACCCTAACTACCCATAAAATCATTTAGACACAACCTTTTATGAACAATGAAATGTTTGTCAGATAATCTTCAACTTTGTAATAGACTAAAACTGATGACAATGATCTGATAATTGTAACATTAACATGGCTATCCTTGAACATTCAGGTAAAACTGATACCCATACTAGTCGTAAGAGGCTCGCTTATTTCATCGTATCTTTAAAGCCTAGAACGATTCTTATGATATCAATCCCTGGGTAGTCTGGTCAAGACGGGACCGCCTCCGTGGTGTAGTGGTTAGAGCGTCCGCCCGGAGAGCGGAAGGTCGTGGGTTCGATCCCCGACCGCGTCATACCAAAAAGACGTTAAAATATGGTACTTGTTGGTCCCAGCCTGGCGCTCGGCATTAATGGGTACAACAAGGACTGGTCGGCTCGGAGTCAGTATAATGTGTCTGAGTGGGGTATTCATGCTTCACTGCGGCATGGTATCTCAGTGAACTAGCACTATAAAACCAGCTTAAGTCTGGGCTAGTACAAGCAGCTGCACATACACATACACACGCATGCACGTCGTCATATGAGCGAAATATTCTCAAGTACGACGTTAAACCCAATTTCACCTCACCTCACCTGGTCAAGACGATAATTTGCAAACCGCTGTCATAAAGTTGGAAAATTGCTGAGTGCGGCTTTAAACAACAATCAAACAAGCAAAACACGATTCGTGTAGTCACAGTGACCTCTGGTATGTCTAAAAGGTCATTGCACGTAGTCTTTGTGTAACTAGTGTACTGTCCCTACTAGACGTCCACGTGAATATATGTAATTTATACCATCCAAAAAAGTAGGGGATATTGGATTTACAACAATCTATATAATTTGGGGAATTCCAACGTTTCTGTCAGGTACTGAGATAGAATCTGAAGGCAACGACAAGGCCAACCTCGACCTCCCTGGACAACAGCTGCAGCTGCTTCAGGATGCAGTCACCGCCGGCCAGGGTACGTGGAGGCTCGACAATACTGTACAGATCATAAGGGTCGGAATGCGCATCTTCAATCATAAATTCGTATACTCAGTGCTGATAATGCACCCCTCCTCAGATGACGCCTGAGAATGGCCAGTATCGGCCATAAGAGGAAAGAGATTCCATTGGGCGTTAAATGCAAAAAGGCAGTGTTAATCTAATGAATGAATCCCTGAAAATATATAATGATCAGATGATGAATGGGTATGTCCGACAGAGCTTCATATTCCTTTTAATACGATACGAAGTCATTATACCTAAGTGGAGAAAGCCAATAATAATTCATTGGCTTGTGAGATATGTATGGAATTATGACTGTTCCTTAGCTAAAAGATCGCAACCATATCACAATGTACCGGCATCTGTGAGGAATGGTACTGATGCTTAGGAGTCTCATGTCATTGATTATGTTTCAGCAACAGGCGCCAAGGTCATCCTTCTTCTATTCAATGCGGGACCCCTGAACATTACATGGGCTGTTGAGAGTCCTAAGGTTCACGCCATCATGGAACTATTTTTCCCAGCGCAAGCAACAGGCGAGGCATTGCGACGAGTACTTTTAGCTGAAGGACCCAACTCAGTTCCGGCTGGCAGACTTCCGATCACGTGGCCAATGTACATGGACACGGTAGGTAGTCAAGAGCTGGGTGTACTTGCAAAAAACAATCTTAGTTGCAATCGATCTTGGGCCTCTACCATCAACTTTACAATGGTGGTTGTAAACCTGATTGTAGGGGCCTAAGATCGATTGCAACTAAGATTGCTCTGTGCAAGTGGTCTTTGAAGGAGGTATGTCCACAAAAACATATATGTCCACAAAAACTATATGTCCACAAAAACTATACATGTACGAACTTCCAATCTGTGTCTGTTTTCCAAGGTTCCTGACATGACCAACTACTCAATGGTTGAACGCACATACCGGTACGCCACGTATCCAGTTCTCTTCCCCTTCGGCTATGGTCTGTCCTACACCAGCTTCTTCTACGACATACTGGAGTGTACTGCTCAGGTGACGGCAGGGGACGACATCACCGGTTCTGTCTCATTCAGAAATCGAGGATCTTTCGACGCCGATGAGGTATACTGTAGTGATGAAGGCATGCAACAATACTGTAATATTGTTTCGCTGTTCAAACAATACCTGACTGTTCCCCTTTCAAAACTAACACCACGAAGTACACATGAATACGTCATTTAACTATGAGTTACATAAATTCATAAATTAACTCTCGTTGATAAACCATGAGTTGTGTATATAGTTATCGACAAGGAACTACTTTGTTTTGTGAAAGTGTGAAGAATATACCTGCTATTAGGTCACTGCATTCAAATGTAACGGTTAAGTTAATCGTCTAAAATGTTCGTCACAGTCAATTTGTCATCCATTAAACTGTATAAGAAATGGATTTCACGTTCTGGTGGTTTACTGGAGTATGAACGCGTTGGACCAAGTCTTGTGCAAACGCCAACACCACCATGTGACATTTTAACCCTCCAGCCAGACTTTGATACAGACATGTCTTGCAAAATGGATTGTCTGTCAAAACAGTAGGAAGTATGGATCGCTGCTTATAATACTCATCAGTGGACAATCCAGACTAGACTATTTATGTTTGGAATTCACCTGGAATATTCCAATTTAAACTTGTACAACTATGAACCTTGCATGTATGTGGACAGTACTAGAATGCATCTCATTATTCCTCTTATGTATTCCAGGTCGTCCAGGTGTATATATCCTGGTCTAACGCCACTGTGGAAGTTCCACAGCTTCAGCTGGTGGCCTTCGACAGAGTTTTTGCACCACAGGGTGTACAAACACAATGGGACTTCGCCATTTCGGCTGAATCTATGGCAGTGTGGACGGATAAGAAGGGATGGGTTGTTGAACCAGGTGAGCTATTTCCTTACGGTCAGTTCTAAACACAACTACCATTACAACAGATTTAAAGAATACATCACTGAAATGAGTACATCACAGATTTACCGATTCATTACATGCCTCATGATGCTGGACCCCTTGCATATTGATCTCACTGACCATTGTAAATTGAAAAATTATATACTAGCCACATAAAGAAACTATGCATTGTCAAAATATTATCCCAGTTGATAAGTACGATAACAATGTCAAGGGTACATATAAATTTTAATGGAGGGATCATGAGACCATAACAAGTCGGGAGAATTTCAACTGAAAAGTCAATCACAATGACGTCACGAGTCCACAAGCGGGACAGGGGTCAAACGACCATGTCACAAGCTCAATAACGGGTATGTCCACCATCGGCATTGAGAACAGAGCCTATCGAACGTGCAAGGAAGGATTGTGGGATGTCACGCCAGATTCTCTCAAGTTCTGTTGCAAGGTCAAGGACGTTATTTGGCGGATGAGGAAGACGGCGTAGACGTCGATCCATCTCATCCCAAACATGCTCTATCGGGGAGAGATCCGGTGAATTTGCAGGCCAAGGCAGTAAGTCAACGTTGTGGTGTTGCAAGAAATCCATAGCAACCCTTGCCGTATGAGGGCGGGCATTGTCCTGTTGGAAGGTTAACCCAGGGCTGTGACGTTGCAGAAAAGGAATTGCTACAGGTCGAAGAATCTGATCCCTGTAGCCCACACCAGTTAAGTTGCCCTGAACAATCACCAAAGGAGTTCTTTGGCGTGCTGTTATTCCACCCCAAATCATCACGGAACCACCACCAAAGCGATTCCTCTCCAAGACACAGGCCTGTGCATAACGTTCTCCCACGCGTCTATAGGCACGTTGACGTCCATCACTATGGGAAATGATAAACTTGGACTCGTCTGTGAAAACAACAGTTCTCCACCAAAACAACGGTCTGCGGACATGAGTTCGGCACCACGTTCGGCGAGCTTGTCGATGACGTTGTGTCAGGATAGGCCGTATGGCGGGACGTCGTGGTCTGATCCCGTGATGACGTAAACGTTGTCGAACTGTGTTGGGGTGGATACGGCGAAGTCCCGGGTTTGGTTCGGGCAGTCATCACTGCAGTCTGAAACCTGTGGCGAAGATGGGTCACCCTTATCCATCTGTCCTCTCTTGGCGTTGTTACACGTGGACGTCCAGAACGTGGCCGATCGATGACGTCATTTGTGTTCTGGTAGCGTCTCACCAGTGCAGAAATGGTGTTCCGGTGGCAGTGGAAATGTGCAGCCACTTGTCGTTGAGACATTCCCCCACGGACCACCCAAATGGCCTCATGACGTTGTGCAGACGTGAGCCTTGGCATGCTATGCGTTTCAATAGCCGTTTAATTTTTTGAACGATCGCAAGGGCAGGGGTTGAGCTTTCCAAAGTGACAGTATTGTGTGGCATTCATTTGCTCTGTTTCTCTTTCCCGGAATGCACGTGCAACAACCTATTGCGCGTCTCACTGACGTCACGGAACGTGGCACGTGCATGCATGTTGGATACATGTCACTAATCTCTGAGTTTAAATCCTTATGTGTCTACACAGGTTTGATAAATTTATATTTTACATTTTTGTATGCATAGTTTCTTTATGTGCCTAGTATAGATGTTACACTTACTATTGTAAACCTGGCGATTGATGTATTTTCCAGGTATGATAACAATATGGGCTGGAGGTCAGCAGCCTAATGCCAAGCCTGATGTTGGCTCCAATGTCTTGTCTGTCAAGGTCACGGTCCTTGGACAAGCCATACTAGGGAGATATTAGAATAGAAACAAATCTATTGCGATGTGGATATTGGTCACCATTGGCAAATGTAAAGTATAATTATCTTTGCATCGTAAACAACCTTGAATGGTGTGTTAAGTGATCGTAAATGCAAATCAGTGTCATTTACCCTAGATCTTCCTCAATAGAAAATCTACAATTCCTACTTCATACATGGAGATTGTGTCTCTGCCCTTAAAGAGAACATCTGAACTAGTTTTCAGTGATCCATTCTTATAGATTTACAATATTTTCTTATTAAACCCAATGGAATCTCTTTCGATGGATAACCAAGACTGGTTACTCTCTGTTTTTGACGTGTTAGTATCGTTGAGTTTCTGTCTGGATAGTCTGACTTTCACGATTAAGTCATTGCACAGATGTCGTGCTTTATACTGGTGTAAGAGGGTTAACATGGGTGGTTCAACTTACATATTAATTTATAGCCTGTGTTATCATTGGAATGTGGTCCTCTTTGAATGTCTGTGTTTTTGCATCATTAAATTTCTCTCAATTTATCACCTGCTTGCTCTTTGGTGTGTATATATAAGAGAATAATATCATTCTGGCGTTATATGCGGTTTACAATTGGGCAATCTTCCTGACTTACCCATCCACCTGCTAATCTTCCTGACTTACGTACCCATTTACCAACTAATCTTCCTGACTTACCCATCCACCAACCAACCTTCCTGACTTTCCCATCCACCAACCAACCTTCCTGACTTATCCATCCACCAACCAACCTTCCTCACTTACCCATCCACCAACCAACCTTCCTGACTTTCCTGATCCATCCAACCAACCTTCCATCCTTACCTTCACCACTTACTTACCCATCCACCAACCAACCTTCCTGACTTATCCCATCCACCAACCAACCTTGCTCCAGCCCTTCCCACTTTCCTGTCCACCAACCAACCTTCAACCTTCCTGACTTACCCATCCACCAACCAACCTTCCTCACTTTCCCATCCACCAACCAACCTTCCACCCATCCTTCCTGACTTACCCATCCACCAACCAACCTTCCTGACTTATCCATCCACCAACCAACCTTCCTCACTTTCCATCCAACATCCACCAACCAACCTTCCTGACTTTCCCAACCACCAACCAACCTTCCTGACTTATCCATCCACCAACCAACCTTCCTCACTTACCCATCCACCAACCAACCTTCCTGACTTATCCATCCACCAACCAACCTTCCTCACTTACCCATTCACCAACCAACCTTCCTCACTTACCCATCCACCAACCAACCTTCCATCCTTCCTGACTTACCCATCCACCAACCAACCTTCCTGACTTATCCATCCACCAACCAACCTTCCTCTTTCCTGACCAACCAACCTTCCTCACTTACCCATCCACCAACCAACCTTCCTGACCTACGCATCCACCAACTAACCTTCCTGAGTTACGCATCCACCGACCAACCTTCCTGACTTACGCATCCACCAACTAACCTTCCTGACTTACGCATCCACCAACCAGCCTTCCTTACCCAAAATCCAACCTTTCCCACTTACCCATCCACCATCCAAAGATCGTCTGCAGCATTCATATGAACTTGCTTGAACGGCTCAACGTTAGCAGAAACGTTGATATGATTATAAAGCAAGAGGATTAAGGTTAGAGATATGTGACAGAGTATTAATCCGCATTTTGGCGCATGAGGGAAAGCATGAGATAGCTGATCACTGGGAAAAGGAAACCTATGAAGTAATAGATCAACCAAACTCAGAAATTCCAGGATTTGTGGTAAAACTAGAATCAGGAATTCGTCGAACTAGGACATTAAACGGAAATAATATTGTGCCTGTTAGTAACATATCCATGTCTCCTGAAAAGCCTAAGATTATCCAATTCCAAAGCAGAGGAAAATACTTGTTCTGGCTACACTTGTGAAAATGAAGTCATCACCTGAAGCAAGTGAGGATGATGAATTTCTTATAAATGTGGAAAGGGTTTTGTCGATTATATATATAGTGACTCTGAAATCATTGTGTTGGTTTTTGAAACTGCTATGGAAGAAGACCTTTCAGTGAATGGCACCAACTCGAATGCCAAATAAGATACTGATATCATGGCACTTAGCATCCAACCTTTCATTAGAAAGCACAGCACAGCTAACTAGTAAATTAGTAAATCAATTATTTACAGCATAACATTTATCATTAGTGAGTACTTTTATTGTATGCCCTGGCAATTTCATGAAAGTGGCAAATGTTGTTTACAGGTACCAAAAGGATAGAGATAATGAGTGAGTGAGTGAAAAAATGTTTCATCATCAAGCCCGCATCATCAGTTTTGCAGCTATTCGCGGCGAGACACACTTTGTATATTACAATATATCAAAGATACAAATATAAATGATTGTGAAATTCACTAAATATTCTCAGGCAAAAATCACATTCAAAGATAAAACCTGACTATTTGAGATAAAATTCTATATTTTGTCATGTAATTTGATTTCTTTTAATTAAGCTAGTAGAGATAATGAAACTCCATTCCATCAATAGGTAACGTTTATCGTTTACCATTGCTTCAGTCCACTGTGTGAATGCTTTGACTGTGGTGTGTGTATTTGTATGATATAAATATATTTTAATGAATGCAACCTCTAAACTATGATTATCTGAGACCTAGTTGTTATTTTATAGAACAATTCTCATACAGATGGTTTATCGTGCTGTCCAGTTATTAGTTGTCAAATGTTGCAGGGTGATGTGTGTATCTGACCGCCCTACGATAATAAAGTGTCCTCACCCTACCAGTGTGTTTGTTGTGAAGAGCTGGTCACATATATCATAGTGAAACCTTGAATAACCGGGTTTAGAATTGATCTTCAGCAACCCATGCTTGTCGTAAGAGGTGACTAACGGGATCGGATGGCCAGGCTCGCTGACTTGATGCATGTCACGGTATCCTAATAGTGGATTGTCTGGTTCAAACGCGATTATATACAGACCGGCGCCATATAGCTGGAATATTGTCGGGTGAGGTGTTAAACAAAAACAGAGAGAACTCGCTATTGATTGAATGATAAACGTTCATTTAAAGTACCTTCTCATCTCTTACACATAATATGAAGGCTACTGCCATCATGTCACACTAATCCAATATTCAACATTTCCAATAATGTTCTTTGTGGTAAACGAGTTACATTGTATGAAACAATTATTACTGTCATTCATATTAGCACATGAATTCATCCCCTTGGTCATCCTTTATCTGGTCACAGCCAGTAGGGAAAGAGGGCTGTTCTGATCCACCAAACATCCTTAATAGTACAGTGTTGATAGGAAATACGTCTTCAAAGAAAAGGCGCATGTCGCTGGTGAATCCAGGTGCATGCATACAGAAGATAGGGTATAAGGGTAATACTCATTATTTCAGAGTTTATCATACATGACTACAAAGGCAACTGTATAAGTAATAACAAACAATATTATTTCAATCTTGAAACGTGCAAGTTCCATAATACACAATATTATAGAGTTACCTCATATTCCTTTTTTCAAATTTCTTTTTCCAGTTGTTGGTGTGGGTGTTTTTGGCCACCCAGAAAAGGTGCAAACGATTTTGCTTCCAGAGGCCAGATGTGTTTCCCAAGCTAAGGCACCCTAGCTGGGGAATAGTCTGTCATTTAGAATATAATCTATGTTATCTAAATCCCAAGCACACCAGCCACGCCATGTCACGTGTTCATACAGCAATATGTGGATAAAAAGAGTCACGTTATGACTCTGCAGCATATACTGGCATATCACTTTCCCTGTGTCGTCCACACACGATGCTTCTCCTTCTCTTCGCTCTCGTCCCCCTCGTGGTGGGTGACTACCCATTTAGGAATACCTCTCTAACCTGGGAGGACAGAGTCAACGATCTCGTTGGTCGTCTCACCCTGGACGAGATCCAGCTACAGATGGCCCGAGGAGGGTCAGGACCTAACGCTGGTCCCGCCCCTGCTATATCCCGGCTTGGAATCAAACCCTACTCTTGGGACACTGAGTGTCTCCGTGGCGACGTAGCCGCGGGCGAGGCTACATCCTTCCCCCAGGCGTTAGGACTTGGAGCCTCATTTAGGTGAGACCTGTATGGAGATACTGCAGACATAACGAGCCTTCCTATACGATATGAGTGTTCTGAAATGACTATTCATGGACTATATACTCATGTTTACACACACAATATTCATGTTTTTGCAACCAGCAGGCCACCTTTACGTGAACTTGATCACTAATTGATATTGTCAAGAGGACATGCTTGTTATTGTAACAGTCGGAATCGCCAAACCGACTCATCTTCAAACAGCGATTATTTATGATTCTGGAAACGGTTTTGTCACTTGTATTGCAAGTAGTATCTGATATGCAAAACTTTACATTGGTATGTTCATATTGTGCTTCTGCGCTTTACAGCTTGGTACCAATGACAACGTGTTATCTGGGTATTATTTGTATTAATACAAATTGGATTCGAGTATGAAAACTATTATTTATTTTCTATGTATACGATACTGACAAGCAAAATTCACATCATACACTACCATTAATAAATTTATTAACCCCTACACCACAATTATATTTGGGGTCAAAAGGCGTGTAAATGGATCGGATGGTCAGGCATGCTGACTTGCTTGATATTCGTTTTCGCTCTTCCTGCAGCACAGATCTGATATTCCGGGTGGCCCAGGCCACGGGTGAAGAGGTGAGGGCCAAATACAACAACTTCACTTCACATGAGATATACGGCAGTCACAAGGGTATCAGCTGTTTCAGCCCAGTCATCAACATCGTGAGAGACCCCAGGTGGGGCAGGAATCAGGTGAGAGATGCGTTAGGAATTAGGTATCTCTTGTGCCTAATCTGTGGGCACATTGCTGACTCATGGTCTTTATCTTATTGACCAATTTCAGTTTTGTCTCCATGTAACTAGTTATAGTGCCCAGGCCGTTTACAGAGGTTCGTTGGAACACCTTAGCTTCAGAATGATAGCAAAATTTTAGTAACACCGTGTTTGCAGAGGTGCCATTCCTATTCGGAACAAATCCACATGTCCCGGGCTAGGTCTCAATAGATTGCAGTGTGGTGGATTGTCTGGTCCAGACTCGTTTATCTACAGACCGCCGCCATATAGCTGGAATATTGCTGAGTGCGGCGTAAAACTAAACTCACTCACTCATCAGTGGATTTGTTCCGAATAGGAATGGCACTTTGGTGACTCAGACACTTTACAAGACACATGTAAACTCGAATCCATTTGCAGTATGGCTTGCATGGCATTGCATCAGGGGACGTCAGAAGTGTTTCTTCAGGTGTACTATTTACTGAAAGAAGTAAAAGTCAGCAAGCAGCTAACCTCACACCATGTCCACGTATAAATATGTACACGATTGACAAAGTTGCAGCTTTGCAGGAAGGATCTCGCATAACGTGAAGGATTTAAGTTTGTCAAACGAGAAACTTACTGCATCCATTTCCAAAGAATCTATATACCACATGGTGATCCATATTTACATTTGACGGTTACTCCAATTAACGTAGTAAATGAAGCCAGATTCTCGGGTATAATTTGTGGCAACCATGGTAAATTCGTGCGTCATATCACATGTCTTACGGCATCATAACTGACACTGGTTACAATCAAAGTTGATTGAAAAGGTGTTGTTCCATAATTCTAAGTCGGGAGAGGACATTCCGTGACTGTACAGGCAATGAATCTGTTCCAAACAACATTATTGGCTCAATCATTTCAGTCATTTCAGCAGAGCCTGCAAAAGGAAATCTTAAATTATTGGAGTCTATCCTTCATCACGGTCACAGACCAATTGCCAGTGTATACATTAAGGTTGTGAACCATCTCTTAAGACGTCATTACTTATTCCAATTCCACATCATTTCTGCCTCTAAAATTGAAAATAAAATTTCTTTCCGCCTGCTTTCTTCTTCTCCTTGCCAACTGGTGAAGCCACGATCGTTTCGTTTCTAAGCTAACGATTTGTGACAGGCATCAATTACAATACCAAGAAAAATATATTTGAAGAAGCACTTACATATTTGTACATACAGATGGATCCAAGGATGGTGACGTTGTTGTCAGAGGCACGATCACTGGATCCAGACGTTTGTCGACTAGATTACGAAACACCACTTCCATTTTTACAGTCAAATCAGAGGACAATTTTACAGCTGTTAACTATATGAAACAGTCTAAACATAAGGCATTCTTGAGACTCGCTAAGTGAGTCCAGTGTTACTTGTCATCATTGAATTACAAACCTAATATTGCTACTGGTCAACACGACATCGTCATATGTTGTCACATAGTCGTTTCTGGGA